CACACACACACACACACACACACACACACACACACACACACAGAAAAGGAGAAGCTGACAATTGTTGCACACAGCTGACAGTGAGGCAGACATTGAAACAACTTACAGTGACATTTTCAATTTTGTTCTTCTTACTTTTGCTTTTTATTAGTTTTGATGAGATACAGTCAACAGCAGGTGTTTTCAAATTTGCCAATTTACAAAACAAGGTGAATCATTAAAATCCACACAGCACAGAATGATTTTGCCAAAATGTTCAGATAGTTTCATTTTATTGTCTGTAATCTGATCCACAAACCGACCCTCCCTGTTCCCTCTTCCTGTACCCCCCCTTCCCCAGGTCACTCTGGAGGAGCACCGATTGCTTTTTATAGCTGAAGTGTTTGGAGCTGGGGCTTAATGATAAGGATGGTCTGTGATCTGAAAATTTCCCATGCCATGCTGGTATAAAGGGCTTGGGCAGGATTTGCAGGTGGAAGATGAGGATTGAAATGCCTGAGAGGGGCAGTGAGTGATGGACAAACAACAGTCAAAATCCTGAAAGCAAACCTTGGCACACGGAGAGCTCATCTGTATGCAGGCAGACGACAAAAGCTTTTTTATTTTATTTTTTTTACCAGCACCTGCAGGAGTCAAATTCCACAAGTTGAAGAAAAAAAATATTTATGCCATGAAACATACTTGAGTCAGGATCTCTGTGAATACATTTATATTTATTTATTTTGCTTTGTGTTTGTTGCCTCTGCCTCCTTAGGCTCTTTTTATGTCACAAAGTCTGAGTCAATGACACTAAGGGTAAGAAAAATTACAAAAAAGAGACAAAATACAAATGTGGTGTATGAGTGTTTTTTACGAATCTTACTGTGAGATTGCAGCAGGCAGCTGTGATAAGAAGAGAAACGCCCTGCAAATTACTGATAATGTTTGGTCATTCCTTTTAATTTGATTCTGTCAACTCCACATGTTTAAAGGACCAATATTATGTTTCTCAGGCATACATTTACATACTGTACCATAATAACGTATCTATGTCATCTTTAGTTGTTATTAAAATGCTGTTTTTATGTTTAAATAGAAAATAAAATTATCTTCTCATGACTTCCTCTTCTAAATGCCTTGAAATTGGCCTCTGTCTCTTTAAGAACCACCTTCTGCTTCTGTCCCGCCAATTTCAGTGCAAGTGGGGGTCGCCGGGGGGGGGTTCGCGCGTGCGCTTTGATGCAGTTTACTTGGCATCTGAAAATCCATTTCCTCAAAGGTATTTTTAATCTGAAAAGAGCTTCACTGAGTGAGACGTAGTGGAGCTCAGCAGACAGTTTGAGTTTCACTTTCACTTTCACTCGTTTGTTACTGCCGAGAGCCTGCAGGAGTCATGGGCGGGGTGTGTAGGGAGGTGGGGCGCTCCGCCATGAGGAAGTTCGGCTTAAAGACACATCCCAGGGGCGTTCCTGGTTCCCACCTGTCGTTTTGCTCCTCAGCATGGCTTCCTAAAAACGCTGCAGGATTTCTCAAACATGCATGAATGAGTCAAAGCAAGGCTTTGGGCATGTTTTTTTTAATGAGAGTATAACATTATAACATGATAWAAAACTCAAAAAAGTTGATTTTACATGATACTGYCCCTTTAAGAGTCCTTACTCATGGAATAACTCAGAGAATAACTCACAGAATAACTCAGAGACCAGTGTGGAAAACACAAAGTTAGTAATATCCTGTCATTACAGATAACTTGACAAGATAACAACAATTATAACAACCATCAGTTCCCTCTGCTGAAATGTGGAAATGACTTAATTTGATCAACATTTATGAAGCCTTGTGTAGAAGGATGAAACAAATGAAACAAAACACAACAGAAACTTTGGAAAACATGAATTCTGTTACATCTTAAAAACCCAGAACACATTTAGCTGCCTGAGATCTACAGGTCAAGTAGCTTCAGGCTGCTTAATGTGGCCAATCATTGGCAAACTTTAGTGTAATGTTGCCCTGATGGATTTCTCTAGGCCAATTAGCTTATACTGTAAGTATATTTTTAATCCAAGGGAACTCTGAGGCATGAAGTCCTCCTGAGGTCCATTTGTTCAAACAAAAGGCAACACATTTATTGTACTTTTTGTTTCGTTTTCTTAATTGTCTGAACAGTCCCATATGTAGAACTAAAATAACCACATTTTACTGATTATATTCAGGATAAATTACATGCTGTAATAGTCACCAACTTAAGCAGAATGTAAAATTCCACTTAAATAAATGTGTCTCAGCCTTTTGACTACATTCCAGTTAAGTACTTTTATTGTCCTAATTAAAGTTAAATGTCCTCGCCTCAGTTCACTGAACCTCGTTTGAGAAATTTGGGGCCCTCCTGGTGAGGGTTCCACTCATTTTTCACATATTGTGCATTTTCATAAAATTAAAAAAAAAAAACTAAACCCTTGTTCAGCCACCTCAGTTCTTCTACTGGTTTTATTCACACAGAGGCGGCTTGGTGCTGTGTCAGCTTGGCATCAGCAGTTTGGTGTTTCCAACAGAGCTACAGCAGGGTCTTGAATAAAAATGGTCTATACACCTCACATATTTATGCTAATTTATCTCTGAAGCTCTTTTCTTACAATGCTGTTAAAATGGGTTTGACGTGTCTGCAGTGGTGATAAACTGAGGGGTTCAAAGTTGCTGATTAACCTCAGCAGAGCTAAACAGGTGTTTAGGTGGAGAAGTGCAAACTTGTTTGTCATTTTGTCATGTCTTTAGTTTATATAGAGCCAGAAAGTATTTATTCCTGACACACAAAGATTTTAATGCACTTACATCAAGCATAGCTGTTGAGCCAATTTGTTATATTGTGATATGGCAAAGTTGATAATTTTGACTGATAATCAATTGCAAGCAAAACATGTGTTTTATATAAAATATGTATTCTAAATGTCACCTTGCTTCCTCACTGCTTAGTTTTTTTATATTACATGAACATTTTATGGATTTGACCTCAGATTACCCAGAAAGTGGGCATGTTTGAAAATGGCTTTTGGGATAAATACCAAAAACAAAGTTACAGTCCTGCTTCAAGATTGAAATAGTGCCTCGAAACTCAGTAAAATCAAAATGATAAAAAAAAAGTAAAAAAAGAAAAGAAAATTGGATATATAATTTGAAGGTGGTTTGAAATTCTTTTGGTTATAATTTAAAAAACAAACAAACAAACAAACAAACAAACAAACAAACAAACAAACAAACAAACAACCAACCAACCAAACAACCAAACAAACAAACAAACAAACAAACAAACAAAGTACTTTTAGTCTTGATTTATTTCAAATATGGTGGCAGATATATGATTTTTCTGAGTAAGGGGCCATCAAGGGGCCACAATATTCATTGAGGGGCCAAGTATTTGTTCARCATCCTTGCACACAAATCGATGGTTTTGTTATGGTGTATATATTTTACCAGTCACACATTTAAACACTGGTAATTTTAAGACAGTTTGCACAGTAAATTCTCCTTACCAATTTTGCATGCATTTTTACACTACATACATACTCTCAAACACACAGCATGTGAGATAATCCAGCCATCATTTGTGAGTTGAAAGACTTTTTCTGCAGGATTGTTCAAATTTTAAGAAAAGAAAAAGACTTCTGTCAGCTTGATTCATGCGGGACTTTTGTATTTGGCTCATTAGCGCTTGTAGTGTTTGGGCATGGAACTGCACCCAGCATCATCACTCTTGGGCAAAGGACAGATGAGTGACAAGACAGGGGGCCAATCAAATTTCAGCAGGGGCCAATGCCCCTGTGGCCCTGCCCCTAGAACCGCCCCTAAAGCGGAAAACTAATTTTTGTGTTTAAAACTGAATATTTTATGCATTTCGCTTAAAAAAGTCACTATAATTTAAAATGGTTGCCTTTGCAAACAAGGAAAAAAATACAAATTTGAACCAATTCGACACCTGACCTTGCCCTAGCTTTTGTTAGCTCTCTTTAAAACATTTAAATGTCTCTTTAATCACCCAACCAGCCCTTTAGCAGTATTTATTTAAGGGGACAGTACGTATCACGCTCATCATTTTTCTGGAGGACTGAAGCATCCACATATGATTATACATCCTAAACCATTATTCTGTGCAGGAACGGTGCTCTGCAGATGGTAAAATTTGAATTTGAGTCCCACGCTGTGTTCTGTTGTAGTTTTATCTGACCAGACGATGTTTATCCATGCATTTGAAGGGTCTGGCGCCTTCAAGCCATTATGTTATGAAGTCCTGCTTTGTAATGTCTGGCTTTTTGTGCTGTCCTGTAGAGCACATTCAGACCCATTACATGCAATCTAAAAGCTGTCCAAGCTCCTCTTAAAATGGACATAACGCAGTCCCCGCTTGTCCAACTAGATAGGAAATAGTGAAAACTTCAGTAGCACACTCACATTCATGCTGTATCTGTTCATTGYGATTGTCTTCTCAATGCCTCATCTTCTCCCTTGTTGCCATAGCTACAAGCGAGTGGTGACCCCTCGGCGRGCTGGGACAGCGGTGTTATTGTGCTGGCTGGTGTCCATTATTGTGGGTCTCTTGCCGATGCTGGGCTGGAATAACCTGCAGCGCCTCCTCGCCAATGGCACCTTGATAACTAAAGACCTTGTGGTGACCTGTGAGTTTGAGACGGTCATCAGCATGGACTACATGGTCTACTTCAACTTCTTCGGCTGGGTGCTGCCCCCCCTGCTGCTCATGCTGGCCATCTACTTGGAGATTTTCTACATGATCCACAAGCAGCTCAACAAAAAGGTATGTCTTTCCTCTTTCCTGTTTTGGGCTAACGTAAAGCAGCCRTTTTGCTAATATTTATTACAGAGCCTGAAGCAATAAGTTTGAACAGTGATAATCTTTTTTTTTTCTTTAAATCTCATTGTAGGTGACAGCGGGCCACACAGATCCAAGGCGCTACTTTGGGAAGGAACTGAAATTAGCCAAGTCTTTAGCCCTCGTTCTGTTCCTCTTCGCAGTCAGCTGGCTTCCACTCCACATCCACAACTGCATCACGCTCTTCTGCCCTGACTGCAACACGCCAGTGTTCCTCATTTACATTGCTATCATCCTCTCACACGGCAACTCAGCAGTCAACCCCATCATTTACGCTTTCCGGATCAAGAAATTCCGCACAGCCTTTCGGAAAATCTGGAAACTGTACGTGCTTTGCCGGGATCCAGTCGGTCGCCTTCCTCAAAGAGGGAGCCAGAGAGGACGCAGTAACGACAGGAGGCTGAGGCAGAATGATGATGATGACGATGATGTGTGACCTTTGGGAACTAACTGCATTACAGCAGTTTGTGACAATATGGATAAAAAGAGACCACAGTGGCTTTTTTATACTGGAATGGTTAAAAGCAGAATGGTACTGGGGACACTGAACATGGTGGAGAGTGATTTTCTCCATTAATCGTGCTCCAGCAGGAAAAGAAAATCCCAGTCAGATGTAGATTTGGATTAAGCCTTCTTTTTGGCTGACCAACCTATAAAGATGTCTCGTAATGCACGGGGCTTTTAAATTTTTTTTCTTTTGTATGAGTTGGGATTTACTGTAAAGCAGTAAGTGCATTTTTGTAGCTAACGTGAACAATACTGTAGTAGAGTTTGCTGTACTTGTTGGCTTAAATTTAAAATAATGGCCTTCAATGTGATTGATCCTAAGTATTTATCCTTATACAGAATGTGCTACAATAAAATTCTGTGGCCTTAAAGACCGAAGGAACTGAGAGTAAATGTAGCATTGTGGTGACAGAAGAAATCTGGTAAACTTGTGAGGAAAACACTTGCACAGCCAAGATGTTGCATTTGAGAGTGTTCAGCACACGGGCAGGTTGCCCAGAAGAAGAAAACTRATTAAAATCAGGATTTTTGCTAAAACCTCTGCTTTTCTAATAACAAAGTTACACAGCAACTCGTCTGCCTTTGTAGACATTTGGTTTGTTTTCACGTGAAGTTTCTGCTTTTTACATGTCTGAGAGCATTTGACTGACAGGATGGATACTAGCGAGTAGCTGCAAGCAGAAAACAACTTCTTGTTTCTCGTCAGTTAAATGTCAGAGTAAACAGGCAACAGTAAAAGTCWCAGACCCAGCGGTCCTTTAATTGTAGCCACATCAGAGTTTATAACAGAAACCTGTGAATCTGAAGAATGCTGTTGCTCCTCCATTTATTAAACCTCATTTAATCTGATCATTTTAACCATAAAATGTTCTGCTGGCCTTTAACTTGTTTATAATATACCCCTAATTATTTGGCAAAAAAAGATATCTTAATTGTTGTTTTCACAGATCAAATGTAATTTGAATAGTGTTGAGACATACAGGACACAGAATATTAGTCATTACTGTATGCAACTAATATATACTATAYAAGTATATATATTATGTGTTGATAGGAGTGATTTTCCAGCAGTAAGCTCACTGAGAGCTGCCGGGGGTTGCACTGCCAGGGTCTGCAGTGCACTGAGCTGTGCACTGCAGACCCTGGCAGCGGTTGTTCAACATAAAAACCTGCAAAATCCAAACTCTACRTGTCACTGCACTGATTTCAATTTAAATGCACTATTTGCAGAAATAATTAGATGCATCGAAATTTATTAAGAATTTTTTAAGTGTTTTTGGACTTAGCATCTTACTTACTGGTCATGATTTGTGTAAGGCTCTGCAAAAGGCAATCAGATGTAATTTAGATTTAATATGTGTTCATTTGTGTTTTTCTTTCTTTTGTCATTTGAGTTGYTTTGGGTATTTTGAGAGGTTGTGAAAGTAATAAAGAGTTTACATTTTWAAAAAGGCCAGCATCAAAGGCACAGTGTGTAGGATTTTGTCAATTCTTTTAGCCGAAATTGAGATAATCACTAATGGCAATTATAAAAAACATGTCTAATCATCGCAGACAAAGACCTTTTTTTATTATTTTTACCTTATAAAAAGCTGTTTATATCTCCATGGTTGTGGGTCGCCACTACAGGCAGCCACCATCTTGCACCGCCATCTTGTCTACGAAGGCTCATGAAGGACAAACTGCGGTGGCGGCGTCAAAAACGGTTTTAGTTGTAATACTATAAATGTAATATTTGTTGTCTGTCATTGTAGCTGGGATAATTTTACTTATTAAAGCTCATAATCTTACCACTTGAAACATCACTAGCCCWGAAGCTGCTGGTAGACATCGCGGTTGGAATTATCAAAGGTTTTTGACACCTGAGAGACACCGTAGCAACTCCTTCGCATTTGGAAGCTGGGGGGCTAGGGGTGGGGGGAGGACCAGGGAAGATGATTCAACCACTCAACCAMTAGATGTCGCTAAAAACAACWAATCCTACACACTGTGCCTTTAAAGCCATCTGAAACCTGTATGTGTTTGAATGTGTTAGATGACATACAGTAGACTGAATCACCCACACATCTCAGTCCAACAAGAAGACACTGTATTTCCAATGCTGCTACTGCTAATGTCTCCAATATATTTTATTAATTTYTGAGGAGCTTTTAAAGCTACTATGTCTAAGATTTAATTCATTTCAATGGAATGTCTGCACTTGGAAAATTGTTGAACAAAAATCCTCGTGAATTGGACCCGTGAATTTGCATCACTGATCAGCAAGAATCTTAAGAGCTCTGAAGTTTGAGTGAACAGAAAGCCAGAGACACCRAAATGAAGGCAGCAGTGGATGATTMAGCAAAYATTTTACAAAGCTTTTGTTAAAGCTGTGATGTTCAGAAMGCCAGAAGACAAGAACCAATAGTTCATATAAATCATTTCAATAAACTGTGTGAATGTATAACTGCCTCCTGAGGCTGTTCCTTTATGCTTTTGTTGAGTTTGGCAGTTTATTTKCTCATATACTGTGACCTAATTGTGCAAATACACAATTTGATGCTTAATTAAGTTTAATAAACAAACTTTACTTACTGAAAGTTAGTATATACTCCCATAACATACCTTGTTAATTGTTTTATGTACTCTTTATACCATGACTTTTTTATTATAATCCTGTGTTTGTTTATTTGTTTGTCTATCTTGTTAGAGAAAATTCTCAGTGACCAGTAGGCAGATTTGAATGAAATTGACATGAAGTAATCACTGTTTCTATATCTACAACTGAATCAGCTCAGTTCAAAATGGCTAAGCTATCTGAACACAAAAAAGCTATAATAGWGATTTTTACAGTTTGATGGAGTGACAGCTAAGCCTTTTATATCACACACAAAAGGGGTTCCCAAACTTTTCCAAGTCAAGGCCCCAAAACAGCATTAGCTTCTGGCAGGGAACACAAAATTAATCTTACAAAATATGTAAAGAAACATCAATTTTGATTTTTTCTCTTTTTTACTATTTTACTATTACTATTTTTGTACTATTCAATAAATATTACATTTGTTTAGCATTCAAATTTKATTAACACTAATATATTCCCRCTGAAAAAACAATGTTCTAACAAATTGTTGATGATAACAACAGAACAAAATTAATCAGACTTCTCTCTGAAATAACATTCTTATTTTTTTTGCCATTTTTTAAATCTTCCCTCCAGCTTTCTGAGGCCATGCTAGTGCTCCTTGGTCGGTGCCCCCACTTTGAAAAACACTGACATACAGCACTGAGGGTTGGGTCACATAAAYATTTTAGCATTCCCTGATTTTGTCATGTATCTGAGATAAGTAACAGGTCAATTCATTCAATTCCAATTAATCTTTTTCACATTTAAATCATTCAGTTCGGGTCTATATAACGTGGAACTGTAGTGCTATGGTCTGAATCCTCCTTAATGTAACTCCACAAGCCCCTCTTTCACCCCTTTTCTGAGGWGCGTCTCAGATGAACTCGTTTTGACACTGTCCCTTTAAATCCAAATGAGGTACTTTACACCCTGCCCCCCTACCTTCCAGAGCTTCTAGTTTGAACGAGGGGTTTATGACTATAAAAACTTTTCATTTACAAATTAATTAAGATGTCAACAACAGAAGTCTTGTCCAGCCAGCCCAACATGTTAGAGCCAGAATCTTACCCAGAGTGAGAGGAGAATGAAGACGATTAAATTGTAGTGGGTAAGTCCAGAACTTATTTAGAAGTTCCATCACAATTTCTGTGATGTAATAGTTCAGAAAAACAGAGAACATTAAAGATGTTGAAAAAATATGACTCAAACAGAAAAAAAAAAATCTGCACAGCACCAGGAGAGATGAAATTCACATTTTCTGCATCCCTAGACACAAATACACAACAAAATGCATTTAATGGCTAGAAATTTGTATTTTGCATGATATAGCATGTCCCCTTTAAAACACTGGAGTGAGCTGACACCTGTCCATTCCACTCCCCAGAATCTGTCCACTGTTCCACCTGCTTCAGGACATCTAACTTCACTGGACAAACCTGTTTCCTGTCCGACTGTTGCAGAGACCACTTGCTTTTTCCTGGAGGTGTCCACAGTCTCACTACTGTTGGTCCATAGAGCCACTCAGTTGTCTGATGCATCCTCCAACATGTCACCCTGCAGAGTGACCCTGCCTGTCAGCTTGGTCTCATAGGTTCCCCCTCCAGAACTGCCTGGCCTCTCAGCTGCCCAACAGAACGACGTCTTGATCACTGTGGCTTCTTGTCATCCCATCTGCTGTTTCTGTTTATCCTCTTTTGCATCCCTTGTTGTGCTGTTAGTCTGATAGATCCCAACTGAAACAAAGATTTAAATTATTTGATTTATAAAATTAAACTGGAATGATTTGGTTGTTACACTGTTTGATGGAAACTTGACACCCTGTAATTCTATCAGTACAAAAAATTTTTTTTTGCTTTTGACGGTTTGAGTCAGAGAGAATACATTTTTGTTTCTGTGACATGAGATTCCTGACTGGTTAGGATGTCGCCGGTCTGGACGCCTGAGGCTGAACCTAATCTGAAAATACCAACCCTGGATTAAATAGCTCTGAACTGATACTCCCCTTACAGCCATGGATAAGCCTGAGCATATCAGCCAAAAAATATGAGCAAAATGCTCAAAGGAATGCTGGCCAAAGCTTTCTAACAAGAGAGGAGGCTGCAGGAGTTCTCCAGGCTGCAAATACAACCATGTAATGTAAACAGAATATTTCAGCCCTTCATTTTTTATAGTTACTAAGCCATCCTTGATAGTAAAGTGTAAACTGATGACATAAACGGAATTTCATTTTTATGAGTGTCCCATAACGTGTAGAATTTCGCAATCTTTAAAACTTAACTTTCAGAAGGCATTTAAAWGCTTTTCGTTTCTTTCATATTTGACATTTAAGAAATGCTGCTGGGCTGAAATCACACACTCTTTCTGCTAAATGTTGATTTTTTTTCAGTGTATTGTTGCTTTTGTATTGATGGAAGACGGAAGGTGTTATCTGCTGTTAAATTTCTTGAAATGTGTTGACAGGACCAAAAAGCAGGGGTCAAGTTTGTATTTTTAATACAAGGAAAACACTTTGTTTCCTATGAAAGTTTAAATCCATACATTGACAGTGAAGTAAATAAAATATAAGAACATGTAAAAAGAATAGCTTCACATGTCTTACAACAGTTAACATTTTTGATAAAGTAGATAAATGATTAAATAATACAAACAGGGTTGTTTATATTTACAGAGCTGTGGAAAGTCTAAATAAAATGAGAAATGCGAATAAGTTAAGTGTTCTCTAAAACGAACAATAAAGCTGTCAGTGATAACTTATATGCTTACTCTACTATGAGAAAGGGTCTCTGCATGTGTGCACGTAGTGCATTATGAAAATTTCTCAATTATCCAGCTCCATTTGAACAACAAAAAAAAAAAGCCCTGTTGGAAACAGAGTTAATGGTGTGCAGGGGGTGTGTGTGTTTTGGAAATGTTCCCAAAATAAATACTCAGAATCCCAGTTCCCCCTCGTCCCATAAAAGCCCCCTATTCTCATGGTTCTCAGCTTTGTTGCCTAAAGCCTTCAACATTCCCCTCATCACGTCTCACAACTTTCATGTGGAGTTGTGACAACAAGCAGCGCACAGAGATCCACAAACAGCTGGACCAAGAATCCAGCGGTTGTGTAAAACAGGATTTTTTTTTTAACGGACCAGATTATAACCTCTTAGGAATGTGTGGAGTGAGTGTAATGTGTCAGATTTATCACTAAGAATTTCTCATAAACCTATGAGACTTGACTTCCCACCTGCCTCACAGAGGTGACACTCTCCAGCCAGATGCCTCAACAGCCCTGTGTGAAGTCAGAGAGCAGCAGGTTCTGTCATCTCAGCCACACTTAGATCAAGAGGACTCTAACTAACAGGAAACAGATACTTCAGTCCATCACTCAGCACTTAGTTTCTTTTTTTTACCTTTTTCTTATATTTAATGACAATACATCTGACCAACAATGATCACCTTGCTTATTTAGTGTGCAGTGCTGCCACCTGGTGGTTCTGCCTCAATCGCAAAATAAATTTCAGTCCCAAATGCAAAGTTGTCTTTTATGTGTTTAAACAGAAAACTACAAAATAAGTTCTTGCACCATTAACTCTTCACACTGGCATCAAAATCAGATTCTGACATGATTTATGTACTTGATACAACAAAACTTGCAGGGATCACCAACAAAATTTGCTCAAAATCAGATTTCGTTCTGTGAGGCAGCCTTTGATGTGAAAATAACTAAAATAAAAACTACGAAATGGGTCAAAATTTAAATCATGATTGGCATGTTTCGTATATTTTGCTACACTTAAACATAATTTATTGAACCATATTAATTTAGTTAGATGACAAATTCAGATTGGAATGATATCCAGTTGTTTGTCTGTTTAATGTATGGATGTTGATGGGAAATGTTTGTAGGAAACAAGAAGATTATGTCAGAATAAAATAAGTCACATT